TAGCGATGACCTCCCCTCCCTACATCCCTCGTGGCGCGGCTTTTGCTCTCTTGCGTCTGGGTAAAGTCGCGAACTTTTCAGCACCCCCTCGTATTGTGAAAACTGTGCAGGGTTTATCCTCTGGACCAGAGGATGTTGAGGCTGCCGCCCAGGGATGATCTTCAGAAACCGGTATACGAGCCAGAGGCATTGCAGCGGCAGAAAACGAAGTTGGAATTCGGAAATTCATCTTTTCACCTAGCGTCATCGCTCTATTTGGGAAGATCCCTTGTTGACCTCGCGAAAAAGGACGGAGGTCGAGGTGAAGGGCGAGGCCGATGTGGGGGAGTGAGGACGATCCTCCGGATTCTCATCGTCCTTGCAACTGCAGCACTCGCCATTATTCAGGTTTGGTTTTATGCCGACAAACAAATACCGGGTGGTCCAAAAAACAAGTTCCGAACTTTACACGCCTGCAAACGGTGTACCGTGATTTATCGACAGGAAATTTACAGGCTTTTAAGTACAATGTTTCGCAAGTAATGCAACACATATTTTATTGAAATTGGTTGCAAACTACGTGAATGCCAATTTTTCTCCCGTGCGATGTCAAAAGAAAGAATGTGAAAAAGGAACGCGCCTGAACTGAATGAAAGAACTGCTTGATGGGTCCTCCATGGATTGGCCGAATCAGCATGCCAGCAAATTCACTGACACATTTGCTGATTTGATGACTTGTACGGAAAGAGCTCTTACTCATGTTCAGAGCAAGGAATTTCATTGAAAATTTCCTTGTGCCACCTACCTAAATTGGGTACTAGCGAGTTTGTTAGCCCTTCGGGCAAAGAAACTCTATGGTCTATTTAAATGCATAAAATCATTTAAAAGCCATGCATAACCACTTGCAATACGATTGTATGTAATTATAATATAATAATGCGTATGTTTAATATGATGACACCATGGTTTGCATATTTGACTTGATAGAAGGTTATGACCCTACATACACGTCAATATTTGTTGCGGTAACATTGGCCAATACACGAGTCTCTAATTGTTCATATTTTGTATGGAAGTTTGATGAAGCATGTTATGTCAATTTGACAAAATGGTATTTCTTGTCTATATAATACCATGAATTGCTTTCTCTGGTCCAGTTGTAGTATTGGTGAGATGAGAATTTAATATTACCTTAGCCACTTGTTACCTCGAAAAATCATGAAAACCTTGAATATCATCAGGCATGCTGACGAAAACTGATAGCCTATACTCTTCCCTGAATGGGCGAAAGGATCAGGTGGCTTTTTCTCGGCCTTAGTACCCTTGAGCGCTTTTATCTCTCGAAACAGCTGTAGTACCGCATCATGAGTAAAATATACAATTTAGAGAAGCATTTCACTAACATATGAGGTAAAAAATAAGGTTTTGCAGCATAGGATGTAGACAATAAAAAGTAAACGATTGCACGAATATACAATTATTGCATGATTTATTCTGTCCAATGATATTTTGGGAGAGATCAAGGAACTTCCCCTACACCATAAGGTACGAGGTAAGTAAACTTGTCGCTTCTTCAAAATATCTCTTGAAATTCTCAGAAGTTTCTCCATCTACATACCACATTTATTTTTTTATTTTTATCAGATGAAAATAAGCGATGAATTGCAAAAAAATAGCCAAAAAACTCCCGAAGCGCGACTAAATGAAGAAAACTGAAACATCGAATGCACCAGTATCTCGAACGAACTGAAAAAAATGCGGTGTACGTAATGAATAAGGATCATGTCATGTGTCCTACTTGACGTAAAAAAGGGAGAATTTACATGAGAAAAAAGAATTACTTTAGGAACTATGACGGTAGCGGATGGCGGCTTGCGAGGATATATTCGAGAACGGAGTATCCCCTATTGTATGCATATAGGGAGCAAATGCACACAGAAATTAGCTGGTGTTGAAAGAGTGATGCAGTATACCGATCGACAGTACGTCTTGGGCTGACTGCATTTGAAACCAGTTTCGCCATTCATTATCCTGGGAATGCATCTCGTGATACCCATTTCAGGCATTTCCGTAGAGTCTGCTGCACTGCAAGTAATATCCTTCGAGCTCGGGCTCAGAGAATGATGATTCGTAGTATACTTGGGGAATATCCCCTTCAGTTTAAATGTTGGATAACAATGCAATATTAACGTAGATTCATAACTTTCCTATGAAATAATACCGAATTGCATTACCCTTCATGGAAACGAAGGGCAAGGCAACTCGCTTGGGTCGGGTCACGATTGGTGTAGGCCTGCGTGTCTGTCCGAGGCCAATTAAAGCAAAATACCTGGGGCGGTTAAATCAATTCCCTCAGGCCACCTACCTTCAACGTCGAACTTCATCTGTACTATGGAATCCAACATCTATTTGTTTTTTTCCCGCTTTCTTGAAAGGAGAAATTGTAAAAGTGTGGTATTAACCTAAGCGTCCATTCGTGGGAAAGGCTTAGGACTACGACGTCAGTCTTCCTAGAAAGGTGCCTCCACTGCAATTCCCCGAAAGGCGGAGTTTTCTGTAGTCTACTGCCTAAGAGCTTTCCATGTTACCGTTTCATCGAAGGAAGAAAGTCTGAGAGTTGTGTGAGCCTAACCATTCAACCGTGTATTCAGCCTATGCCTACGAATTCTTTCCCTCCTCTTCTGAAATGTGGCTCCAGGGATTATACCTCCGAAGTTGGACTTTCGATGTCGCACTATCTCTGCAGTCGGCAACTCTGCTCCTGTTCACGTTTCTTCCAGTTTTGTTGAAGGACATGCGTGTAAAAAATGGTATTGGCCCAAGCCTTTATCCGTGGGTTAGACCACTACTTACAAAATCATTCCTCCCGAAATGTGTCCGCACGGCATTAAACCCTGTTTTCATTTTTTCTGAAGTTCGCAATCTAACAGCTATTCGTGTACCAAGATTCAACCTCTCATCATTTCTAGAACATGGTTCGTATTAGAGTCTGTAAGTGGCCCACGACTGTCTTCATACATATGATGATGAATGTCCATCACCTACTTAAAGGGATTAAATAAATTAATTTACATGTGTCTGGGGATGGACACCACCGATACCGAGAACCTAATGGAATGAAACATCACTCTTCCATCTACCCAAAGTCGTCCAAAAGATAAGAATACAGACCAAGTGTCTACGCAATCGCTGACGTTCGTGAGGCATTCAAAAGAATAGATTGTTTAAATGAATGCCATTGATAAATATATATGAAGCCACATGCATAATTTCCCGAACTACAGGCAGTTGCCGGGAAATTCCATCGCCGACAGAAAAAAATTAATTTACCCAGGTATTTGCGCAACAAAATCTTAATCTCTTTTGTAACAGCAATGCAAAACGATAGTAAAATAATATACTTTACACGTATGGCTCAGTCTCGTCTTATTCGTGTCTAAATATTACAGCGAAAACACAATGGCCTATCGGATTCGAATACCTCCAAGCTCTCCCGGCCAATTTTCTCCCTTTTCCTTATGAATGGAGGTCATTACGTTTGATTGACAGATTGCATATGATGCATCGATAATTACATTGTCCTTTCGACTTGATTGACAGATTGCATATGATGCATCGATAATTACATTGTCCTTTCGACTCGATTGCTCTGGGACGCAGAACATTTATGCCTACGAATGTCTGAATGATGAGAGCATTTTCCTTCATGGCAGCAATTTTTCGCAGGTGGACATTCCCACCAATTATATACTCTAACAACGAGCAGAGAGGGCAAACATCGAGGAAAACAAGCAAGGGAACAAGGACGATCAAAAACAGTTACAGCTGATACAATCCATGCGCAAATATGTGGTCCTAGGCAAACTTTTACCAAGCTTCTTCCCATTTTTTACCTTTCGATACAGGCGGCTCCTCTCGTCGCTCTCGGTATGGATCTCCGTAAGTCGACGTGAGTTTGGCCACGTGTGCAATAGGCATTTGAGTCCGTTTAAATAATAATAAGAGCCTGAGTTGCAAAATTAAGGCGGAGAAGTTGTGAAGTGAAATTTAGCTGAGGAACTGCAAGAAAAATTCCATTGGTTGTCATTATTTATTATGGGATCTCTCTATGCTAGGTTCCCTGAGAGATTCATGGATCGGCATCAATGTCAATTCTAACTTATATGCATGCTACGATATACTAAGGGTGTGGATTCATTTACAATATTTACCTTTGAAAGCAAGGTTTGTGAATTCAAAACGATTTAGCCGTGAGAACCCTTAAAATGCTGAAAGTTGAATGAAATTAAAACTATACACGTCCACCTATTTTTTTTTTTAAGATGAACCTTGTCGTACTGAAATATCGCATTAGCAAGATTCCCTCGGCTCGACGTCACTTAACACGACGGTGTTGGTAGTGACACTTAATCCTTTCGCCGCTTCCAGCTGTCGGTTCCAACGATGCTCGGTTTTCTTTTGAGCGCCTAGGTCGTATGGAAGTCGTCAAATATCACATCACAAGGTCGTTTGGAACGGAATATAGGAAGTGAGAAAAAAATGTTTTTGTCCAACAATTTTCTGCGATTTAGGGAATTCCCAATATAACCCTTGAGATCACCGTGCCTTTTTCCTGACTTCCCCCCGTGGAGTTTACTCGATCGTCGCGATGAAGGAGTTACATTTACCGGTTTGCGTAGAAAAACTTACAGATTATGTGGAATTATGCAAGGCCTCGCGAGTCGAACCCTTCGAAAGTACATTTTGCTTTTAAAAAATATGCAGGGTGCATCCGACAGATCACATCACGTTGAAGTCGACAGAGTCGTCTAGGGAGAATCTTCGGAAGCCGGTGTATTCACCCGAAGTATTGCAGCGCGGTAAGATCGATTCCACGCTTATAAGTTCATTTCCCCGTCTAATGTCACGACACGGCGACCTCGCGAAAGCGGGAAGACGTGAACTTGAAGAACAAAGGCGGTGCGTGGGATCATGGGGTGTGAGGACCATCATCCGTACGGCCATCATCATCAGCACTACAGCCCTCGCCATCGTTCAGGTATTGCGTAGTTCCAACGAAGTTTATGTTTAATCGATGACACGGTGCTATGGTATTCAATGCCAATTTTGCAGAACCCCTGGAACTACGAAATAAACCACTTAAGATTTGTATTAAAAAATACTATTGAGATTTGGTATCGTGTAGAGCAGGGTATGTTGATCAACGTTACTTTTCACGCAAAACCATTCTCAACGTATACGTTGGGGGTTATAGGGGGTGAATCAAAAGTAACTAGACGAATTTGAACAGTTTTAACTCAACAAGGAAGGTATTAATTTATTAGGGTTTTTTTCCACATGAAAGAGCACATTTTTGCACATTAATTGACAAAAGAGCACGGACCTTAGCAAGAAATACCAATAGAAATGGAATGAGCCTGCACAAAACGAAAAGTAACTTTCTTCAACATAAAAGTAATATATAAGGTACAATGGACCCCCTGTTCGCAGTTATTTCTAGTTAATTTTTGCTGCTCCATATGGTTTTTTGATGATGCCGATGAACTTTCTTTGGAGGAACATCGTCGCCATCGTTAATTTATTTTCTATCTGTGAAGGACATCTTTTCGAAGCGAATCGCCGCTTTCCTTTGAAGACAGACGAATAGGCCGGGTTCATCTGTCTTCATGCCGAGTGGCCTCCTATGTCGCGGAAACTGACTCCACTCGACTTGTGGCTGTGGCGTTTCATTTAAAGACCAGGTGTAACGCGAAAATTCACCCACGATAGTTGAATTGAAGCAATGCATCGCTGAGGCGATTGCTGGAATTGCCTTTTGCTGGCGGCTCGAGCGATCGAGCTTGATGGTACTCAATAATCATGGTCAATAGTTAAAGGCCTTTTTAGGCAAATAAGAATATACATTTTTAAACTTTGCATATTTGTTAATTATTGCACGGTCTTTTTTATGGAAGAAACCGTTTGCAAATTCATGTCTTCCTTGCCGAATTATAGCTGTTCAAAGTTGCTCAGTGAATTTTGACTCACCCTGTATATGTTTCAAAACAGGAAAAATGATTGGTGATTCAGTTAGCGTGTGGTTTCTTTACTAATATAAGTACTCCGTTTAGTAACTTATCAAATAAAGTCCTGAAAGAAAAGAGCCCCCCAATCATAGTCAGCTAGCGGCCTGCAGCCTCTACGCTGGCCATCTAATGCACGTAAATTTTAAACATGTTTACATAAATATATATAAGCAGTCCGGTTGAAACCAGACATTAAACATTTTTAGACAAACCTCGAGAAGTTCGAAAGTGTTGCCGCCCGGCTAATTTTATAATCATTGAGAGCACACCTCCCAAATAAATCACGAATGAAGGCATGAATAATGAATGGAAAATACAATTTCAAAGTCGAAAGGGGACAAATGAGGAAAAATGTATCTTTTAGAAATCAATATGAGAAAAAGGAATACAAAATCTGAAATATTTGCAAGATTAGTAGAAGAAATCGCGTCAAGTATAATTCTTAAAATCGAAATGAAGAACACAAAATTAGCTAGTAACACTAACTTATGAAGGAAATTAAAATCTGGAACCTACACTACTTCCTTGTACATGACATTGTCAGTTGAAACGGCATCATCAGTCGGCCTTGTCCTTGTTCATCGATCAATTGGACTTTCAGCATTCGGCAGACCGGACTTGAGAACACTCAACATATAGCTGACCGTGAGGGATAACGGGCTCCGCCAGCAAGAGACCAGCCATGTTCAACGTTTGTCCCTGAGCCTTGTTTGTTGATGATCATACCGCTAGCCAAACCACTCGGGAATCGTCTTTGGCATATATCGAAGGGGATAGTCGAATCGATCGCTGTGTCGAGTGACATTCGTGGCAGCAAATGTATGTTTCCGCGCGCTGCACCGGTGATGATCTCGACTTTCATGTCTCGAACAATCAACCGAGTGCCATTGCCAATGCCGTTTTCAATAGACATATTGTGAATAAGCATGGAAATGGCCCCGACTTTAGGATTGAGATCATGAGGGGTAAAACATTCGGGTTCAACACATTTAGGAACTCGACGGGAAAGTTGACCGATTATCGTTTTCACCCTAATCTTCCTTCACACTCTCAGTGCTCTTGTATATTCTCGATGCACCTTCAAAACGGGACAGAACATATTTATTTGCCAAACGGGAATGCTCATTTTTCGTTGCAAAATTGCGCCCCGATTCAGTTATCCCGCGGCGCGTACGTGGTGCTCTTGACGAAACACTTCCCTTACCAAATTGTTTGTTATGAAAAGATCTGGGGGACGCACAGAGCTTTCTGATATTCGGTCCGTTGCCCCGGAAAGTGCTAATTTTCGGGCTGAAGCAACCAATGTGCAAACTCAATCTCATCGGCGTTTGCTTGCATATTTGTGTTTAATGAAAATTGAGGAAATGTTCCCATGGCAGGATCATCTGGATGCATTTAGCAAGAAGCAGGTCGCGCTAGGCCTTAGGGACAATTAAGAGAAGCTGGCGAAAATCGCCCCCTAACACCCTCATTTCATCACCAAATGCAGAGTTGGAACGCATTAGATTCCTGAGAGCGCGGTCAATGACTATAAATGCATTATTCAGAGCCATTGACGCCACGTCCCAAATCGTCGCATCAGCAGTTCGTATCAGATATTTCGCCTTTCTTTTTATATTGCAACTGGACACATTGGGCAGATAGATTTGAAGTCAGAATGCGGTGCGACAAGTCATTCCACATGGCAACAAAATTACTGCTATTCTCGTCCACGCAACTGACAGCACCCTCAGACCCATGCAGCGCAGAACACGAATTAGCATATTGTACGAGAAGGTTTTACCAGTGGAAACGAGATACGCATTCGCAGTGAGCTGTGACAATCATAGCATATAGCCTAGAATGGCAGAGCCTTGTAGGCTTAACGCTTCAGGGCATGGATGGCCTAGAATGGCATCGTCGATAGTGGAGAATAACAAATAGCAGACTTTCTCCACATTGGAGAAAGTCTGCTATTTATTCTTGTACAGTATGTGTCGAACTTCTAACTGATGCAGACAATGGGATCGAGGCTCACAGTATCTCCATTCAATTTTCTCTTGAATTGTCAAGTGGTTACCGTTACGTTCTGGCCGAATTCGGGGGAAAGTCGAACAATTGATGTACGATTATTGATAGTCAAACGTTCCTCAGTCATTTTCCACTAACTCCTATTAATTGGAATCAATCACATTGGAGACACAATCCATCAGACACACGACAACGTGACTCAGAACCGCAGGTTTGTTTTCAAATGTAAACGCTATTAAATGACCCTCGAAAAAAGAATTCAAAGCGCGTTTCAGGGAAAATATACAATTGACACAAATGGGAAAACTTTTTACTTTAGGGAGAATTATCTCTTATTTCGAATGATATAAAACACCCCTCAATCAAACCTAGCTTTACGAAATAGTTAATTTTCAAAAGGTTGGCAGGACTCTTGACACACATTGTAGTTAATGTCATGTGACTTTTTAAAAAGCAGATTACAAGTATTCCATCATTTGTATTTTGACATAGCCTATGGCCCAGAATGGGAAAAACTTGTATGCCTATCGCTTTAAGCCTTGGACGGCGTGGCCTACGCCCAAGAGTTGCATAGCATCGCAGGCCTCAGCGCGCTGGTAGTGACAGCCAAAGTAAGTTTCTGTCTCACTCAATTAACACTTTGCGTACAGCTCACGGAGATCTCCCTTTTTCAGTCCTTTTGGGAGTCCTTTTGCTTAGCCTATGGTCGAAAAAAAATAGGCATCGGGCTTTAGGCTTAGGCAACTGAGACTTACATCAGAGCGGCGGATCGACGGGGTAAAATGCCCGGTACGCGATGTGTGAAAGTACTAAATGTGCATGCGTAGAGGATGATGCGATGAAGACGTTTCAACCACAATCTAGAAAAGAAGGAACATACTTTTCCTAGGGGATCTAGAGCCTTGTGTTCAAGTGGAATCCCATTGTTGTTGGAAGGTTAATAATAGTGTACTCCTTGTATTTACATTAAAAAAATCGCCTCAGAGGAGGACCTAATTCATTGCAAATCATCCGATCTCACATCTGTCCGTTGCATCTTTAGAAAGGTTTCGTTCGAGGCGTGTCGTTTGGAATGTTTCATATTTCCCGCTGCAATGGAGGCTTCGCTGCGATTTGGTATCATCATGGTATCCTCATTTTCTGGAGCAGGGGCCCGAATTGTTTCAGTGCTTTTCGTGGGAAAGTTTGCAACAGCATGATCAACTGTGCATGACATTTAAATCACCATGATTTCTAGGGTTAGACTCCTCCTCGGACATTCTATGATAATTTAATATAACCCGAATGCGAATTCCATAACAGTTCCTTTCCACTGACACGAAATAAATTAAAACCAAAGCTGTAAGCTTTACTTTATTGCCAAAGCTCACCTACTCCCAGGTCATTCTTTTCGGGTAGAGGTCAAGGTACTCATTTGACTCTGAAATTTCAAGGCTAATTTTCCTCCTTCCTAGTAGTAGTTTCATCACGTGTTTTTGAACAACTAACATTTAAAAAAAATATCCCATGGGGCATCGTTTGCCTTAGGTGCTCAAGAAAGTGACAAAATGTCTCCATATCTTCGAAAAAAATGCCCAAGTAGGCAAAGCTCAGGAATTGCTCGTGACATTATCTGAAGTACCATTTATACAATGGATTGAAAAGTATTTTTGTCTTTCCCGAACATATAAGGGTGCCTGACAAGTAATTGAATTATACCCATGCTCATATGTTTAAAATTTTTATTGGACAATGCGCATTATGTACAACCTTTCCATTTACCACATTGTTTACCACATTGTCTCACAAAACCTCAATATATGGGGCAGTTGAATGAATTAGTGCATTTAATGACTTCAAATTCGACAAAAATGATGGTGTTTGAAAGTCGTAAATGGAAGAGTTATTGTAGATGGAAAAGAGTCAATTCAGGAAAACGAAAATATTTATTGAAAATTATAAATATGCATACCGCTCAGATTTTCACTTACGGTATAATTCATATTTGAGATGAAGGGAGGTATTCATCCCGAAATTCAGGTTCAGTCCCTGGTCTCAGACTACATGTCCTTTCCCACGAACACCCTCTACTTGGTGGAAGAAAAGTCGTCGATCCCCTCACCGGCAATTACCATCTGCCCCAAGTATTCCATCAGCCGGTCTCGAATGGCAGCACTGAACTTGACGGAGTCCGATTTTAGTGACAAAGCGGCGATTATCGGAGAAGGCGCCTCAAGGCTAGGCCTCCCTCAAGCCGAATTCTTTGACCTCGTGCGCTTGGAGCTGCTCCAGCTTCTCCACACAACCTACTACTGGAATGATCTCGGTATGACACCCTTCAGTTTCACAGAAATCCATATGCAGGGAAAATAATGACCTAACTCTCTCACATGCAATTCCTTAGATGTTTCATTTAAAAAAATTGAATTACCTTGACCCCTTTAACGTCAATTTACATTTCATTGCTGCTTCTACTCATTGTGACATAAACTCCCAAAAATTCACTTTTCAGAGAAATGTACCGCTTTTCGTTCACATATTCCACCCACGATTCTACAGTAAAATGAAATAAATTATACAAGGAACGTTGCAATCTAACATATTCAATCTACAATCTACAGTTTTATATTCTCTCATTATTCTTTCCATAATGGAATTACTACAAAGCCTTTCAGCCTAAAGTAGAACATCCTGCTAGTTATTTCGAACTCATGACAATTTTGAGGATTGAAAGACTGATGGTGTTCTCCGTAGAAGCTGTTACAAATAGGATATGATTTATTGCGTACACCTAGTCAATATCATTCCTCCTGCGGCCCAGAAAAACTTAAAAAAAATTGAAATTAGTGCTTCCTTAAAGTAAAAGTTTGACAATGAACGCATGAATTGGTAGAACTAGTTCATATATTATTAAAATGTCTGATATGTCCATGACAGAGAGGAAATATTGTAAAATGTTGATTTTTACAAAGTAATATTCATCCCGAGAACGGAGTTGCATCGTAAGAATACCACGGGACATACATCAGAGTCTGAATTTGTTTTTAAGTGCTTCGTGCATGTATTCACTTTCGCCGCAGTGCCATTGATCATCCACGCGACGTTTTTTCTAAGATTTTTTTTCCATTTGGACGCATTTAAGAAATCATTAATGGCATCAATGCTATTGAAACTAATGCTTTTGAAACAATGTAGCGAAACTAATGGTGCCAGAAATAAACAAGCTAAAACCTTTTTGAATATGTGATACTATATTACATCATGAAAGAACAATGAGTTTATTACAGTTTATTTTTCATGAACGAATTTCGAATGTATTTCGAATCTCAGGGCGGGCATATCCAAGTTCTTCATGATATTTTCCGTTTCGTCGTAAACGTTTCCTTAGGAGGGAAATGGAGCCAAAGGACCTTCTACAGCTGGGATGTCTCGGAGTTCTATGAATGCTTCACGCTGACAGTGCCGGTTCCAAGAAATACGGGGCCCGGAGGGTGCAATGAGAACTGCATCATTCTGGAATTCAAAAATCTCTTGTCATATCGAAATCGGGACAGGCCAAACGCGGAAGTTTACATCCACGAAGCGGAAGAGCCGTATTCTGAGCTGCCGGTGTTCGGGGCAGTACAAATTCTCATCCACAACGACTCCACGACGGAGATATTCCTCACCCCCGAATTGATGGAATTTCAGGACAAATCCTCAGCTCCTTGCACCAGGGATTCCAATCACAGCTACATTAAGGTCCGATTCATGAGAAAAAGCTCAAACATGTATTCTTGGTCATTTCAATGTTCTTTAATCACATGGACAAAATGAATATCCCTCAATGCATTGGCCCTTTCTGCAGCAGGCTCTGACCATCCACGGTCCATTAATTTTGTGTTCTATGAATTATGTTCTATGAATTTCATGGAAGACGGTGCTTCTAGATCAGTCAGTCACGATCGTCCATATACTGTATATCTAATACTAGCGAGTTTGTTTGCCCTTCGGTCAAACAAACTCGCTATGGTTGCGCCTTCGGCGCTCCATTACCTTGGAGAGTCATTAATTCATTCATTCCTAGCGAAATGGCAAACACGTATTTAAAGTACGTCCCCATTGAAATACGTGATATATGGGGACAAAAGCCTTGATTTTTTTCAAAATCTTTACCTATATGATTTATATTGTGCCTAACTTGAAATCTTTTCTTGGGCCCCTTTTTGTAAGGGTGGAGAATAAATTTTGAAATACTTCCCTCCTATAATCTACGCCTGCTATTAACCCACACTTTCCAATAAACATTGAGTGTGTTTGTAGCTCGATTCATTAGGCTTCATGGCCCAGTCGATCTCAAAGTTTTTCTTATATTCGGGCGTGAAGGTTTATATAAGCATTTACTCCATCCATCCATTTAATCCATGACGTCACACAACCGGCAAAATGGGTATTTTATTGTTTAGTGCGTGGAGGAATGCTTCTTTGGAGAGGCACTGCTTGACCCCGACGTTGAATGCGTGGTGACTATTCTCCTTCCGCCCTGGAAGAATTGGACAACGGAAAAACCTGAGTGCGGGACGGAGAACCAATGGAGTTTCCTTGAAATGGGGCTATATGAGAAAAGGGACGAGTATTTGGGGAAGTGCGGAGGATGCAAGAAGCGCTGCACAGCCACGGAATATGCCATCGTTGGAAAGCCCACTCCCTCTTGTGGCACTAACAGCGGCAGCCTTATGTTCTCCTTCCCCTCCAAGAAGGTACTGTCGATTTTAAGCCCAAGTAATTTCCTGATGTTGATAATAATATGACCATTTTGCACAGATGGCAATAACTTCCAGTCACGAAGGCGACTCTTTCGCATATTCAAGTCAACCGCTGGAAAAAATTAGAGTCGCAAACAGATTGGCGTTTATTTTTTATTTTAAAGTTTTCCTAATGAAATCTTCAAATTTCAAATTCGCTCAAAATCGCAAACATTTCCTGTGATTGCTAAGGTCCGAGAAAGTTCCTTCTGTTTAGGTTCAGCACTTAGACTGAAATATAATTGCTAAAGTTATTTTCCTGTCCATTCCAAATACGGTCTAGCTAAGCGAACTACGGAATAATTAATTTAGCCTTGTGACTTACCGACCGGGACTTGCAAGCTTGTGCAATTTCTAGGCAACAGACGATCAAAATTGGAGAACACAAGAATATACTAGAAGACGAATCGAAGCGCAGGTTGCAAGACGCGCATTAATCCTCCAAACAAATAGCTTACAAAATGTAACCGTTAATACATTTTGAAGAGACAACACAATGAATCGGCTCTTACCGGATTCTCACATTTCCAGTCTCATTGGAAAGTTAGAGAAGTTTCAGGAGCAGCTGGTGACGTTCATACCGGGCCCATTGCTAACAGTATAATAGCTGAGGCAGAACTAATTATTCGCTCTTTGATAGACAGATAATACACTTTTTTCCCCTTGCATTTGTCAATTTGTCCTCAGAACATTCAAAAATCTTTGTTTTAGTCCCGACGTTTTTTCACATGTATGATTTTACGAAAACAACTCGAATTTGGTATTTTCTTTAGCTCATTCTACGTCGCTATCCTTCGCATCATTCTTGGGTACAATCTCCCTAATTCGAAGACTATGCGGTGTATTTGATGAATTTGGGGTGCTTTGTGAATGGGAATGCTATGTTGCTAACTGCTATACAGGAGTGAATTTCCAAATGGGACAACTTGAATTCAAACTTGGAGACATGCTCCGGCGCCTCTGCAAGTTTAGAAAATCAGGGTGTACTGAGAACATTTCTCGATTGTTTAGCAGCATGACGACTCTCGCGCTTTTCCTCACATCAGTCATGTGAACCAATCATGTTTTTAACCGTTTGATCTTAAACAGGTGGGAACGTTCCAGGAGCAACCGGCAATGTCACTACTTGCCCTGTTGTCTAACATCGGAGGGATCCTGGGACTGTGCCTCGGCATCTCTCTATTGAACATCTACGACCTATTTGAGGATGCATCCATTGCCCTGTACAACCGGGTCTCCAAGAAATATTCCACTTGAAGCGGGCGTATTCTTTGGTTTCCTAAACAGGGTTTCAAAAAGAAAGATAACTTCATTTTCATCCAATCGAAGTAACTACACCTTAATTTAGAATTCAGCCCTTTTAGGACAAGCACCACTTTGATTATGCCCTTACAGTTGAGTGGATTACCTTTGAGAATATATAATTCAGTATGCTCGTTCGGACAACAATTCAATCTGAACTAAACGGACTTTCTCTTTATTTTGAAATATACATATGATAAAAGTACATAACATCTCTTCTCCTATAAAATTGATTCCAGCTCTAGTATAATATAATATCCCTCATGTATAATTCTTTCTCGGTGGTGTCACCTTATGGGGTTTCTTTGCCTTATTCTCACTTCATTTGCCTCCAGTAGCTTCTTTTCGGTCTGGGCTCTTCCTAATATATGCTATTTCTGCACATAATTCCGTTGATTAAGTAACATGTTCACCCTCTCTTTAATCCAATACCAGGAAATATGCCACCAACTTTTTTTCTTTTTATATGAATGGGAATTGCATCAAAACAGTTCTTTGCATGAAAATATGAATATCTGGTTCTTGACACAGAAGGAGGTGTTGCATTTTTTTAACAAATTTTTTTCTTGAGCATGCTAAAATATAGCACTTTCCTATTTTAAATTATATCTTGCATAAGTATTCGCCGAAATTCAGAACATACAATCATGTTTAACAAAAAAAAAACAAAAGGTTTGTCAGGTCTAAGGAAGGGAGTGAGGTTAGCAGTTGTGGTCAAGACTGGGAACAGAACATGTTGGGTCCTGATCATCCATGAAATTCAGGCTTCACTTTATGAAGGCTATCTATTTGTTCAAGGCAATGCCATTCGATTATATTAGAGGAATTTTCATTGTCTTTTCAGTTTCATGGTTGTGTATCTCTCATATATATGCCATTTTAAGCATCTTTTTCCGCTAACACAAATACCTAGTCATTCTTTGAACTATTTCGTGCAATGATTAGCTGAAATAAAGTTTTCATGACATGACCTTGCTCATTGGGACTACTTCTTGACAATAGGGCACTGGGAATCGCTAATGAAACAATTTTAGGTGAAGATTTCCAAGTATGTGAGGAAATGTTGAGCAGGAAGTAATTATTTATGCCGCTACTCATAACCCCCACAATTTCCTCGCACCATCCAAATCTTTTTGTCGTGTGAAGGACCTCAATATTGAATAAATTAATGTTAAAATTACAACAAATAAATTGGATAGAAAACATAAATTGGCAAGAGTTTTGCATCCAAGGCAGAGAGTCCGGCCTCGTCACAGACAGGAAAAGCCATAAATATAACGTGACGATTGAACAGCGGTGTTAAACAACACCAATTATTTAATTTAATTAAAATAAATAAGGAGGGAAGACCAATATCACAAGAATGCGACGTTGCCTTTCATGACGATGAGGAGAAAAGAAGACTCTGTGAAAAACATACAATTAGGTGTCCCTCCAATGAATTCCAATACGTCAATCGATAGGAGATGAACGTCACTAGAAAAGGTTCTTCCCTGGAACTACAAAGTACTCTTGTCCATCCCGTAAAGAGATAGCCAAGCCTTTGTCATGATAGGTCAAACAGCAGTCATTCAGGAAAATACCAAAAGGACAGACAAGGGCGATGCTAAGGACAGGCGATTAGACACTTCCTTGCAGGAAAGAGAACAGTGAACGTAATATGGAACAAAGTGACAGGAAGAGTGGCGTGCCATACGCTCACGTTACAACAGAGAACTACATAGAAAAATACTTGAAATGTGTCATAGCTCATGCAGAGCTGCGAGGTAGTGAAACATCGCCACTAATGGCTCTATAACCCTAATCTGGTATTAGTTAATTATATTACTTAACCCTTTCCCAGGCAACGATATTCAAAATTTTCGAGAACATAGAAGGACTATTACGCCGACGCAAGGGAAAGGGTTATATCGGCCATACGACATGTCCAAAGTGAAACTCATCCATTTCCTCCCAACTACAATTCTGGCATTTCCAGGATTTTTATTTAAATATACCATTGGAAGGCCAGATTAAGTAATGAATGTAAAGGGTTTTGCAGAGTATTTTCTCATGACTGTGGGTTGTCATGTGCAAATTCTAGATATTTTCAACATTTAATGCGAATTCCCCCAGCTACAGGAAGACTATGAGTAAAATAGATCAGGCAATTACAACGCAGATGGAAAGTTCCATTCCCCTTATGAAAAGCACGCGTGACATTCACACAAGAATAAGAGGGACACGTGGCTATTTATTTGCTTTTCCCACAATTTTTATCCATTAGCCCCATTGATAGACGTCATCACCTCCGATTGATCAATCCAATTGAGGCATATGAGGCGAATCGCAACTCATTCAGTATGCATGGTGTGAAAAACTCGATGAATATCAGGAGTTTCCCTTCACGTGCGGATTCCCAACCATTGGTCACGCTAATAACGAGACGCCGATGCAGAAAATGAGAGTCAAATGGCATCCGCAGCTGGCATTATCCACGTGAAATCATATGGCAACGTGGACCGTCTTTGACTAATCCCTCTGTCGTCCCCATGCTACTTAATTCTTTCACCATAGCATCGATGCAGTCGGCTATCAACCTACCTTCTGGCATGGATCTCCATAAATCGACGTAAGTTCTGGCAGTCTTGAAACTTGCTTTCTTTCAAAATCGCTGAAGCCCCTTAGCTAAATTTCATATGAAACTTATGACATTAAACCAGAACGGTAACGAAGTCACAGTGCGGGTTTAACAAGTGAGAAAAGCGAATAACGACATGCCATGTCAAATATTGACAACCTAGTGGATTCGATTCATTGATTATTTCTCATTTTCATTTCAAGTCTGGGTATGTTAGATCATTTATTTCGATTCACTATCTAATTTTATCATATAATCCAAATAATGAAGTAGTTAGTTCGATTGATGTAAATTGAAAGGCAGAAGGGCCATTCAAAAATATGAGTTTTATTCCTTTTAATGCTTAGAAAAGAATATGTTAGGAAGCCTGGTATGTCCGCATATGGTAACTTTAAAAATAAATAAAAATCGAAGTATAGACATTGAATCGAATGAAAGTACAGTGTAATATCGCTGTGAATCTTCAAAAGTGTTTTCCTTAGAAGTATATAATGGAAGATTCATTAGCTCATTCAGGGATACACTTTTTTGAGCATATGTATTAGGAAATCTCGCGTTCTGAAGAAAATTTCAGTTGGAGGTGGTCAAACATTTTCTTTACTCGTGGTTTTAAAAAAATTGTCTTTTCTCGATTAAATTTTTTTTTTGCTGAATGAGATTGACCTTCATACATTTGGCTAAAATAGCAAAAATATGTAAGTTAGCTTTTATTTGTTTTACTTCCAGTCTGTTTTGGAAATTTGTTGCTATTTTTTCGTGGAACCGCTAGAAGTTTCATGAACCAAGTGAAAATGTTTTATCCAAAACGAAGGATGTACATGGCGAAACTTCATACATTCGAATGGTACAAGTGCATATTCTCTTTTCCAGTATTCAGATTCAGTATTACTGGTAACTTGTGTGAAATTAAAAGCAGCAGAAGCTGTTGACCTTCCGATTGACCATCAAAGTCGATTGTAATTAAATCTACCTTTTTTATGAGGAGGAGGGTGCATCCCATAGAGAACAAGATGACGACGTTGGCGATGCTCTCTGAGAAGTACCTTCCAAAGCCGGTGTATGTGCCCGAGAACAAATTCGCATCCAACAACTCATCATTTCCTGTGACGAGTTCTTTTGATACCCGAATGAAAGAGGATAAAAGAGAGGGTCGAGGGCTGTGCATCGGATCGTGGGGAGTAAGGACCTTCCTCCGAACTGTCATCATTATCTGCTCTACGGCGCTCGCCGTCATTCAGGTACAGTTGACATTCAGTGAATCCCTTATTGGGAACATTCTGAAGCTCATTTCAAGAATGGTGGAAATAATTTCGTCCGCATAAGGCCTGAATTTTTCTGATCTCCCTTTCATGGGTTTGGTGCTAAATTGGTTTCAGAGCATACTTTTATAGTGCTAGCATATTAATGATACCCATGCCAGTGTATATTGGCTCTGCTTCGAAATATATATTATTCCCTCTAGTCCTGTCAAAATAAGGAAAATTTATCACTCGAAATTATTAGGTTCCACATAATAAGTATTCAGCAAGATTTAGAGTTCTATTTTTAAACGAGGAATAAGTAAACCAGGAGGAAAATTTGAAAAACCCAGTTGCTAAGAGCTGGCTTAAATTCAGAAACGCAGTTGAGCCAAAATGGTTTATATCCATTAAATACTACCTCATCGCACAAAAGAAAAGTTATTAGCAACTTGTGGCAATGAAAAATACTTGACAAGACAAAGATCATGTGGGATTTGTCCGTGCCAGTGGATGATTCAAGTATGTATGCGATGCACTACGTACAATGTAGGTACAAAACCTCATGTGTCTCTTTGTAGTGAGAATAATTATGTGATGTGTAAATATACATGGGAAAACGCATATATATTGGGAAAATGTATTGCCTTTTTTTTCCCAGAAATAAACATGAGTGACTTTTCAGTGGTTTTCCTCATGACAATTTTGAATTGGGGAAAACATATGAGGTTATTTGGTGTAAGTGTGATCACGGGGTAAAAGAGATCAGTCCTAATTGTTGGTACGAACATGGTTACGTTGCAATACGGCATCAACAAAGCATATACTTACAACATTTTTTGATGGGAAAAATCATTTCAACATAAAAATGCTTAACAAAATTTGTACATTATAACATCTTTATCCGTATCACATAGGTCAAGCACTATTATACGATGATCGCATTTTCCCTATTCGAAATCACAGTTACCCCTACGGGATATCGGCATAGGAATAATCACTGATATGACTGATGCAAGGGAAAAATACAAGTCTGATGTAGTGATCAATATGTTTATTACAATAGAAGGTGAGTTTTATCAGTACTCACTTTTATA